GAGACTGCTGTACCTCAGAGTCCCCTAGTTACAGAGGACAGTTTCTTGAACATAGTAAATGCTCAGTAAATGGTTGTTGCATGAAAACAATTTTAGCATTGGTTTTGCTAATGACTTTTATGCACGCTTCTTAAACTTTACAAACCAATAAATATTGTGTAAAACTGCAAGGAAATTTTGGTTGAGCCTGCTCTCTTCCAAACTGCTGGTAGATTCCTGTGCACCGGTGGGTGGGAGTGGTTTATGGGTAGATATAGTACTGGAAGTTTTAGCCTCCCATTTCTACTTGCTTTAATCTCAAAGAATAGATATTTCTTAAGTTTTTTTTTCTTCTGTGCAATCTTTCTGAACAAGAATCTTAGATTAATATTGGTTCAAATAGATGCATCTGATTATAACTCTCACACTGAAAAGGAAGTGAGTTGGAAAAAAAAAAATGCAGCAAGAGTAGTGGATATCCAGTTACTGAGTTTCTACTTGGGAACGGAATTATAAATACATGTGTTAGGTAGCAGAATTTTGTTGTGTTTCCCCCAAAGGAGAAATTGCTGCTGTATGGAAACAACATTTATTCAGCATATTTTCATTCTATAATTGCACCATTTCTATTCTTAATTCTTTGAGTTTCTGATTCAAAGTGAAAAAAAAAAAAAAAAACCAACACAAAAACAGACCGTCGTGTAAAGCTGACAGAAACGAGTGTGAACCTGGCTGCGAGGCGCAGAGGTTGTTGCAAAATTAGCCACGGAAATCGCTTCCTATCTGGAGGTTAAAAATAATGTATTTAGAAGGAAGCTATTTACATTGGCTGTTGAGAGGCTTCCCCAGGAGGAAGCCTCGGCTGGGAAAGCGGTGAGGTCCTCGGTGGGTGGGTGGGTGTGTGCAGGGGGCATTCCCAGCTCCCTGTGACTGTGGCCACCGGGCCACGCTGGCGACAGGAGAGGGAGGTGTGTACTGCCGGGGGGCTTCTCAGGTTGTGAAGGAAACTCATGTCAAGCCTGGCCTATTCTAAAGTTTGTGGTGGCCAACAAATTAACCTCCTAGATTGCAGGGAATGCTTTGCTCTGAGCTCCCAGTGGAGAGAACCCAAGGTGCTGGGGGGCCCTGCAGACCCTGCTGTAGGGGAGCTCCCCGCAACTGGGCCAGTGCAGACTTCCACCCGCTTGATGGAACTGAACGGGAAAGCAGAGCGCAGCCCAGCAGGGGGGAAAATGAATATTTGTGGGAGAAAATCCTTGTTGCTGCTGTTTCGTGAACTGCAAGCATATTTGTTTGAACCTCCTGCGATTTTTCTCTCACCTCTGCACGTCCCTGTGTCTCCTGCATTCATTTCTCTGAAAGCTTCCCCCACCTTTCGCCTGACCTCAGGTGATGCCAGAATAATTTCAGATCTGTTTCTCTGCAGGTTTCTGGCCTGGCTCTTTCTAGGCCATGCATGGCAATTATTTGGTGGTTTATTACTCGAATAACCTCAATTTCAATAGCGGCATCTTCGGAAAAGCGATTAATAGAGTATTATGAGTTTTAAAATATCCTTTACATATCCGAGTTTTCTTGTCCAGAAGGGAGTGGTATTTCTGTGTTCGAGATTGAAAGGAACAAAGAATGGATGGTTGAGGTTCTATCCCGGTATTTTAGAGACTAACGGTCTGTTTAAGAAATGCTTTGTTTATTTGTTTGGGGCTTGTGTTTTGGCAAGGTTGGGAAAGTTGCTTTAAATGTAGATATCAGATGTTTGTATCATTCAAGAATGTTCGGGTCACCTTATCACTGTTGGATAGGATTGGAGCGAGTTGATAACTTCTTTAGTTTTTGACATGCTTACCCGCTTTGGCACGTCGGGAGGGGGAATATTCTTGCATGCTGAGGGTGTACGCGGAGGTGGTCGGAAAGAGGCTTTGTCAATAGATGTTGCTGAATTGTCTAGGCATTTGAATCAATATTTGACCAATTGCAACTAAGGAAGAAGCGAAGAGGCAGAGATAAGGGTATAAGGAATAATGGGCATTTACCTCTTAAATGTTTATCTCAAGATAAAGAGGGAATGCTGTCCTTATCTAGCTGATTTCTGTTTGAGAGGGTGGAAGGATGGACCAGTGGAGCTGTGCAGACAGAGCTCCAGAGAAGTTGCTACTCAGAGTGCGTCTGGTAGAAAACGCTGAGCCCCGTGTTGAGAGATTTGGGTTCTTGGTTTGGGCATTAGCACTAAGTAGCTGTGTATCTTTGATCCAGCTGGGTAACTTTGGTAATATTTAAAGTCTCAGTAAAATCACAGGTCTGTACACGTGACTGTCATTCTTTGTGGTTCTCAAAACCCTGATCTTACATATACCTTGTTAGTTGACCCTTACAACAAAGTTCCGGACCAGTCTTGCCTATCCGGAGCTACTCTAGTTGTTCAAAAATATAATGACAGTATTTACTTTAGAATCTCTCTGTTTTCTTATGTTAGTTCTTTTAGCGAACATTGATAAAGATTGAAGAAGAGATTCTTCAAGGAGATATTCAGTTAATTCTCACTGTAGTGGTTTTTAAATCATAGTCCCATCAGTTCTCCTGAAAGATGAGATGTTTGATCTGGAATCAAGAAAGGTGGTGTGCCAGAGGAAGGAAAAATTAGCCCGATTGTGGAAATGGAGGTGGGCTGCTTGGTGTTCGGTAAAAGGCACCTCCACTGGGGAGAGGAGTTGTTCAGGGCCCCGCTGGCTTCAGGACTGATGGAAAATGCTGAAATCCAGTGGGAAGAAGGAAATGCGGCGAATCACAAGGAACCAGGCTGTTTTTAAAAGAGAAAATCCAATTTTATCTGCTTTTCTCCAGCAAATTTCATTTGATATTTTACGTTTTCTTGATAACTTAATGAAGACTCTCAGGAAAGAGTTGTAAAACTTTAGTGAAAGAGAATTTGTCATTTGTGACATTACTTCTCCAGATAGCATGGGAAGATCAATGTATTAGCGTGTAGTTCATGCATTCCCAGTTCTAGCTATTTCTATTCAGAAAAGACAGCATGCTCTGCAGCAAGCTTGGCACAGTGGGGGTTCTGGCTCAATCCCTAAACATTCATAGAACTGTGCGAGGAACCAGGCGTTGCATTGGGCACAGAGTGGAATATGCAGATAATAAGCCCCTGCCTTCACACCACTCCTTACCTTTCAGAAGATAAACCACTAGCAGACAGATAATGAAGAGTGATGTAAAAGCAAAATAAAGCACAGGAATGTTGGCCCTGCATTCAAAATAGGCACAGAATCAGCTGCTTGTCACCTCCTGTACCTCCTTGAGCTGGTCCCCCTGCTCTCACCCTCATGCCTGAATTTCCCCATGGCAGCCAAAACAATCCTTTGAAACTGACTCCCTGCCCCAAACCCTCCAGTGGTTCCTGATTTCACCAGATGCCCACGACCTTTCAGTAGTTGACAGAATCCCACTGAGACAAGCACAGCCTTCTTCACAATTCTCTCTTCCTCTTTCTCTGAATCCCTCTCACCCCATCCTACCCACACAGCCCTATTTGCTGTTCCACGGACATGCCAAGCATCTTCCCACAGTGATGCCCTCTGCATGGGACTCTCCCAGAGATCTGCATGAACCTCTCCTCACTTCTTTCCAGTCTTTGCTCCGAGGTCACCACCTCAGTGAAGCCTCACCCTGACCCCCTATTTAAAATTGCACCTCGCCTTTTGTCCATGACCCCACCACCCTCCTTGGCCTGCTCTGTTGTGTTTCAAAGCACTTGTCACTCTCTGGCTTACTCTATGACTTATTAATTCAGTAACTTTGTTTAACAGCTATCTCCTTCCACTGAAATGTAAGATCCAAGAAGGCAGGATCTTTGTTTTGTTTAATGTTGTTCAATCTAGAACAATCGAGAACAATGCCTGGCATGCCGCAGGTAGTCCATAACCATTTGCTGAATAGCAAGTGAATGAATGAGAAGGAGAGATTGATTCTGACGGAGAGTTCTGGGGAGAATCATGAGGAAGAAACCTGTGAGCTGAGTGTTGAAGGATGAGCAGAATTGGACATTCCGGTTTTCTGGGGAAAGACATTCCAGGTAGAAGGAATATTTTGAGCAAAAGTAGAAAAGTGACAGACCACATGAGTGCTCCTGAAATGGCAAGGAGTCCCAACTGACTGGTGCTTGGGGAGGGGTGGGGGAGGGGGGAGAAGACACTGAGAGTGGGAGAAGAGGGTGTATAAATTAATGGATAGAAAGTAATCTCTGCCTGGGATAAGGTGGCAACACGTCGGTGAGGGGAATCAAGGACTCTCAACCAAGCAACATGGGTAATGTGGCAGATATGGTCATGTTAAGAAATCGGTAACGTGAATAGTGTTTGCCAGAGAGATTTGATTTTTATTTAGCACTCGGCCGTTTCCAAAACATGGTCACATGTTTATTTTGATTCAAGCTTCATAAGAACTGGGTGAAGTTGTTAAAATACATACATTTTTTAATAAACTTAAAAAAAAGTGAATTGCATCTCACATCCACCCAGCTAAGGGCCTTGCCGGAGGTGGCGGAGTTAGGAAGTGGGAAGCGGCTTCACACTGTCTGTCTCACAGCCAACGTCTCCCCGCTCTGCCAGCTGCCTCTCTAATTCTGACTCGAGACTAAAGATACCGTGCTGGTCTCCTCATAAGGGTACAAGCTCCTTCCCATTTCCCCGTGTCATCGAAAATAGCCGTTGCTTCTGTACCAGATCCATTTTCCTCTCCCCTCCTTTCCCCGCTCCGTGGATCTGGCATCATTTTTAGAAAGGTTAATAATGCATGTGGTGAGTGGGTGCGTTCCTACCTCTGCCTGTGCGGCACGTTACCTTCTTTCTTATGCCAAGGCTGTCTGACTCAGCACCTGCCAGCACAGGCCACCGCCGCCTTTCATGTGGCTCTTGGGTGGAAGGGAAGAGGAAGCGTGGCGGCAGTGCCCTGTGACAGTCTTCAGGTGTGCCTGCCGCTCACTCTGGGAGTAACCCCGGTCTTCTTCATTCCCCCAGATGTTAGTAGGCAGGACGAGGCGGAGGGCGAACTCAGTGAAGGCGAGCCCTGGTATGGAAACTCCTCCGAGACTCCGTCCGAAGCATCCTATGGCGAAGTCCAGGAGAACTATAAGCTGTGCCTGGAGGACCGGATCCAGGAGCAGTCCACCTCCCCCGACACCTCCCTGGGCAGCGCCACCCCCAGCAGCCACACGCTGGAGCTGGTGGCCCTCGATGGCGACGTCCTGCGAGACTCCCTGCAGTGCCAGGACCACCTCTCCCCCGGCCTGTCCTCTCTGTGCGGCGATGACGACTCCCCCGGCTCCACCAAACCCCTGAGCAGCAACCTGAGGCGGCTGCTGGAGGCCGGGTCCCTCAAACTGGACACCGCCACGGCCACGGCCAACGGCAGGGTGGAGTCCCCGGTGAACGTGGGCCCCAACCTCTCCTTCTCCCCACCGTCCCACCACGCCCAGCAGCTCAGTGTCCTTGCCAGGAAGTTGGCCGAGAAGCAGGATCAGAATGACCAATACACTCCAAGTAACCGTTTCCTATGGAATCAAGGTAAGTGGTTGCCAAACTCAACCACCACCTGCGGCCTGTCCCCCGACTCGGCCATCCTCAAACTGAAGGCGGCCGCCAACGCCGTCCTGCAGGACAAGTCTCTGGCCAGGACCGAGGAGACCCTGCGGTTCGAGTCCTTCTCCTCCCCGTTCAGCTCCCAGTCGGCCAGCTCCACCCTGGCAGCCTTGTCCAAGAAAGTCAGCGAGCGGAGCTTGACTCCTGGCCAGGAGCACCCCCCTCCAGCCAGCTCCTTCCTCTCCCTGGCTTCCATGACCTCCTCAGCCGCCCTGCTCAAGGAGGTGGCCGCCAGGGCCGCGGGGAGTCTGCTGGCCGAGAAGGCGTCCCTGGTGCCCGAGGACCCTCTACCGCCACCGCCTTCAGAGAAGATGCAAGAAAAGGTGACCCCACCACCACAGCCGCCACCACCGCCGCCACCGCCACCGCCACAGTCCTTGGAATTATTGTTACTCCCGGTCCCCAAGGGAAGAGTTTCCAAGCCCTCCAACTCAGGTATGGCATCTTTCCTTTCAGTCACTGTGTTCGTCTTTCTGACTGTCAACTGCTAAGTCTCCTTATTTCATTTAAAGCACGTTTTTTATTTTATTTCATTTTGCCTTAGTCGGTTGGGTTTCGCATCTGATCTGTGGCGGGCATGAAAAAGCAGGCGCACAACAAAGTACTGTAACTAAGCAGGGTAGTGGTTTTCCCGCCCGTGTGCCACAAAGACTTCACAAATGGCTCCATTTTTGAAAGGTAATGAATAATCTTAGCGAGATACAGTACTCTCGTCCCTTTCATAGGAATGATTTTTTTTTTTTCATTACCAAGTTCAGGCTAGGTCCATACGAGATATATTTAATGGGGGAGATCAAAGCCTCTTTGCCATGAATTGCATGGCATCACTGAACAAGGGAGAGCCCACCCTTCCCGCTGCCTCCGTCACAAACGGGCTTTTGTACAGTCAGTAACTGCTCTGCCCTAATTTATCACACTGTATACTTTCATGTTAGCATTCTTACTACCTTTTTGTGGGATTTAAGCGCTTTTCACTGATCCTGCCCTGGTCTAATTTCTTGTCATCCACGAACTCTGAAGAACGTTGTCCTTCAGACATAATCAGAGCATTTCCTGCCGGTGCTGTATGTCCTTCCATCCCAATCAGATCCTGAAGGAATGTGCATGTGGAAAATCTGAATCATAAGCGTTTCTCGTGGGGACAGCTTTTCCAAAGGAGAAGTCGCTATCATATAGAGGGAGCTACTCATCTGAGGGAGGCATTTAGTCACTGGCGTCCTCACAGTGGAAACATCAATTCTTGGACTGGTGTGTTGTTCAGTTATGCGCACAATAAGTATGAGGTCGTGGAGATGGTCGTATGGAGTTTCCGATGTCTCCCGAGGATATCCTGCCAGACAAGAGCAGGAAGCAGGCTCTGTGTGTCCTCGGCAGTGTAAACACCGCTGTTGTGTGTCTAGCTGGCTTTGATTATGGCAGCCGCATTGATGAAGAGTGTTGAGAACGGCAAATAATTGACGGAACGATCCCAGCTAACACCAGTCTGACGCATTTATGACAGATTTCCATTTAAATTGCTGAGTGAGCTATACGCACTAATTATAATTACTTTAAAACTTGTGTAAACAGCAGACTACAACGAGGAAAATGGATCTCTGGAACTTTTATGACTGCAAGCCATCCAAGTGGTTCACGCCAGAGTTTCCAAAGTGTCCATAAAATCCTGAAGTGTTTATCAGTGCTGAGTATCATTTCTCCTCACTTCTCACCTGCCATCTGGTGAAATAAAGAGAGAAATGGCTCATATTTGGAAACAGGGAGAAGAGCAGAGGGAGCCGGGCAGTCTTGCCATGGAATCAATCACTCCTGGTTTATGGAATTTTTATTTAGGGTAGAAGCAGAAAGAGAGGCATGGCTCTATGTCATATGTAATTTTATAAATATTCTCTGCAGCTGATGATCGAATACACGGACTAATGGTGGTCATGCTGTAAATTCTCCTGGACCTTAGTTACTTGGAAAAGCTTCTATAAATTGAATAATAGACTTATTTGACTGAAGCATTGGGAAAAGGTGACATAAAACTGTGTCTCCTGGAAAACTAGTGGCTTTGTCACTTAGTGTCTTGGGAGTAATCAGCAATAGTTGTGAAGTATGACTTTTTTCATTCCAGTGACTAGATGCCTGTAAAGATAAGGAAGAGGCCATGAGCTCCCCGTGGCTTTAAATGCACCGAGTTTATGCCAGCATGTGAATGAGCTTCTCTCAGCAGGATTCAATATGGAGATCTATAAGAAATCTTTTTTTTTTCTTCTTTTCTTCTTATTGAATTTATCCTATTGCTGAACCACTTAATATTTTAATCAATGAATGTTTAAAATGTCCACATTGAAGGAGGAGAAGAAGGAACCTCTTGGACTGGGGCTTGGCTGTGGATTGTTGCCTGGGTCCTGGTTTTCAGGCCTCTGTTCCCAATCCAAGGCTTGGTGAAGCAGTTCGACTGTTGGAGTCGTTGTATTAAAAAAACACTCGTTTTGCCAAACTCTCGCGAGAGGAGAGATCACTGCAGAGAAAAGCACAAGGGCTCTGGAAATGGTCATTCGAAAAATGCCTCGTGCATCCATATGGATGCATCCTGACTCCCCGAGCACATTTCCTTTGAAGCGAATGCCATCCCCTCCCAGCATCCTAGCCAGGTTATGGGCTGAGAAGGCGTTGCTAAAACATCTAATTCTGTTGCTTATCTTTATATCATGGAGAGATAATATGGTTAGTGGTACTTGGATCACTGATTTTTTAATCTGAAGAGTGGAAGGGAAAGTGTGTCTTTGCTACCTGCCCCCTAACTTCCCCTTTATACACTATTCTGCTGGTTTCAGGACAACCTGGGGGCTGGATTCGGATGTCACTTGGTTTTACCTAAAAAGCATTTGTGGGGTTGTGGTGAGATGTTTCTAAACATTTCATATTCTATTTTTTCCCCCTTTTACCTTAGAAAGAAATCTTAGTTTAATGCAAAAGAGATAGGTGGGACCGATTTCTCACAGCAAGAAGAAAATTCTGATTCTGTTGCTTAATAACTTAAATAAACAAAACAAATCCACAAAAATAAACTACACACCACCCTGACTTGGAGCAGGGCTTCCATTTCCAAGCTATTTCTCAAAATGTTGCAAAAAGGGCATATCAAGTTAATCCTAGAGTTACAAAGAGCTATGTGCTAGAGAAGCCAGTGTATTGAGTAATTCAGACTCAGGCATTTCTTTGCCCTTCTTCAGGTCAAGGGAAGTCCACACCATGAAAAAAAAAAAAAGTGTCTTATAAGTCTGGCCTTATTCCTCTTTTTTGAGTAGGATTCGGTTGTCGCCAGGTCATGGTGTATTTAATTCCTTAAAGAATCCGCTCCTCAGCAGCCGTCCCCCCTGCAAGACAGACGTGACACTTGAGGAGGAGGTTTCTTTCATGTGCCCCTGTGCCCCAGCACATGCTACACGGCTCCTCTGAAAGGGGACACGATAGAAGGAAGATTATGTCCGTTTGCTCTAAAGATAAATGTCACACATTGACTGCATTCTCTTTGAAGCTACAGTTCTGTTGTAGCTCAAAAAATAAAATAGTTTTTATTTTAAAGACAAAGTTTTTGTTTGTTTGTTTGTTTGTTTGTTTGTTTGTTTGTGGAAGATCAACAAGATTCACAGAATGCCAGGCTCCTAGCTAAATAACAGGGAGTCTTGCAGAGACAGGGTCTCCAAAAAACATCTTAATTTTCTGTCTAAAATCTAAACATGCTTAGAAGCAGCTGGTCCCATACATCTGAAGGCTCAGACTTCTTGGGTCAGTAGATGCAGGGGGTGTTTGGCTGCTGTTTTCTGTCATATTTACATAATGTTACTAACATGGTTGCAGAAGCATAGAGACCCCTAACAGTGAGGGGTCTGATACCCCTCTCAGGTCCGCGGTTATTCTGGCTGTAATCTGGGAATGCTTGCATGCAGGAACTTGCTTAGAAAATTCACTTTTAATCAAGATTCAGATCTATCTGTCGCTGATCTCAATTATATTTCTGCAGTGACTCAAATGGAGACTGCCTCTAGATATCTGACTTCTGAGTTTTATCGAATACTTACCAGTTATGAAAACATGCATTAATAATATCAATGTCCATAACAGCAGATAAGCACAGTGGTACCCATTGCTAATATAGAGTTTTTTGTTTTTTGTTTTGTTTTGTTTTTTTACTTCCCTCAAATAGCATTTGAGAGACATGCCCACGAAATTCTATTAAAAGATATTAAATCCGTGTGTATATTGCCATCAGGAAGGGGATGGGTCCTCTTACACAGTGTGCACTGTGGGTTGACAGGCCCCAAGTGGAGGTGGTGATGATGCCCGGATGATGCACACCTGGGATCACCTGGCATCTTGTCCTCCTCCTGTGAGTGTGATGAGGTTTGTCTGCAAAAACGACCCACTTGCAAAGTACCTTGATTTTCTGCAAATTGTTACATAGGATCTAACAAAAGAAAGTTTAATTTCAAAGCCTACAAAATAATTACATTTATTTAAAAAAAAAAAAAAAACCTTCCTTAAATTAAAGCAAGTCAGAAACTATGATTCCCTCCCCCCCCCCCCCCTCGCTTTTTAGACCAATGAAGTATCGGTGGTGTTGTTTTGTGTATTTATAGATGGACAGACAACAGGGTAAAGCACCAAACAGAAGTGAAAAGATTGGCTCTAGTGCTCCCTTCCCCCTCCGCCCCCCAACTCTATAGTCACTTCAGTTTCTTCATCTCTAAACTGAGCTGGTTGGGAATTATGGTCAGACTCCTTCCTGCTGAAAAATTCCTTTGTTCTACTTTATGTTTATTTTTAATCCCATCAACTAAAAAATAAAGCAAAAACAATTAAACAAAAATGTTAATTAAATATATTCCTTCTTAAAATACATTATCAAACCTCTTACAAGATCATTTCTGTCTTGGGCAGATCTGATCCATTGCGGATAGTTTGAACACATATCATTGTACTTTATTAACAATGACATTACACTGTGCATTTTTAACATAAGCTGCTCCAGGTTCACTATGGAAATAGGTCGAGGTGTAAGTACACCAAGATCCAGCCCCCTCTTCATGCACCATCCATTCCCGAGGTGTATTGGCTCCTGTGTGAAAGGCATGCACTCTTGGGCTAGCCCCACTTGCACTGGGTCTTACCGGCAGCTTCCTGATTCCTTTACTTTTATGTCCAGTGTTCGTTTCTCTTTTCCATATTCTTGACCCAGCCCTTTCCACTTAATCTTACTACAGTTTGATACAAAGTTACGGAATGTATGTTGTCCCGGCACTCTTTTGATTGCTGGAGACACAAAGATGAGGGCTCCCCCCTCCAGCCTCTTCTCTCCTCCTGTCTTCTCCATCCCTCTGGTTTCCTGCCAAACTGGATTTGGTTCTCAGAATTCTGTCTGGGCTGAGCCAGACCCTACCTGAGCACCACCATGGACCCTTGCTCTTTCATTTCCTCTGAGCTCCAGGGATAAACTACCATGTCGGTCCAGGCCCTGAGCCACGTATTTATTATGTGATGCCAGTTGTTTAAATTTACATCTGCTCTAATGGTAAGTTTTCTGCTTTGGAGGGCATGACCAGAGTTTATTGTCACTACTATTACTATTACAGCTGCTCCCAATAGCTTCCATTTACTGCGTGTCAGGCATTTCACACACATTTATTATCTCCTTTATTCCAATAATATTATTGCCTATAAAGAGAGCATGTTTTCTTCAAAGTAACAAATTAGCAGCTATCCATTCCACTGGGTCGATTACCATCTGATGGGATTTAGTTTTGTTTGCTGTGATAATAATTAGCTAGAGATATATTGGGGGGAAATTGTTTATCAGACAGTTGTAAATGAACATTTCAATCCCATTACCTCAAGAATGTGTGGCTTACTCTGAGGAAGTGGTCACATTTCCTTAGGCTGTACATTTGGGTGAAACAGCTGTCAGCTCCTTGAAAATAGTTTGGCACACGAAATAGAATACATCCTCACTTCCTCCCTTCTCCAAGTAGTTTCCATCATATGCACATGCAGGACATCCTACTGAACCATGAAATCCTTTTTCTTGAATAAATAAAAATGCAGATCTTATCAGGGAGATTACTGGCCAACTTTGAAGATGGATCATTATTTTCTAGTTACTTTTACCACTTGGATTGTTTTCTTCCTTTCTTGCCGTGACCAGTTAAAAATTTCAAACAGCGGAAACCAGTTTGGCTCATTGAAAGATCCCAGGTTCGATTCCGGTCAAGGGCACATACATTAGTTGCCGGCACATCCCCAGTGGAAGGTGTGCAGAAGGCGGCTGATCTATGTTTCTCTCTTATCGATGTTTCTAGCTCTCTAACCCTCTCCCTTCCTCTCTATAAGAAAGCAATAAAAAAATAAAAATTTCCAACAGTTGTAGTAGCAACTGCTGTTTGACTTCATGACTTGAGGTTAGTTTCTTTCCATTGTGGCTGTTCTAATTTTTTCTCTTGTCAGTCCAAAGATACCCTAATTGGTACATGTTTCATATATGTTTTGGTATTTATTAAAACTTAGGAAGCACAGCTCCAAAATAAAATAATTTACATGAAATATTAACATGCAGGGTTTATGTAGTGTACTCTGAGCTGCATTTGCAAAATAGAGTAGGTGGTTTCCCTGAACATCTTGCCTTGCCTGACGTGACCGAGGGGGCTGGGGGTGGTCACATCAGGCAAGGCAAGGTGTTCAGGGAAACCAGCTACTCTCCTTTTGTCACCTCATGCCTTTTTATTGCCTTCCTATGATGTGCCATGAAACCTCAGGTCAGTGGAGGACAGCTCAGATTTTCTCTCCTTTCCCAGACAATTCTGTAAAACCAGGCAGTTCAGGGTTTATGCAGTGGGAAGTATTTACTAAAGATGGGGTTGGTGGCAGCATGTTTGTGTGGCTCTTTCTCACTACTTCGATATTCTCTTGTAACCCAACTACATGTCATTATCGGTCCCTTCTCCTCCTGCTTATGGCAATAATCTCACCTGGAGCCTGATTTAGTCTTTCCTCTCCAGTCTGTTGTTCACATGTGGTTTTTGCCATTAGGACACCGGAGTGAAGGAAATGACAGTGAAGGACAGAAAATGAGGGGCCCAATTAGGGGTAGGACTCCGGGTGAGCAGTCCACAGAAGCAGACATCAGGAGAGCCCTGGTGGGTTCATAAAAACAGGTGCTCAAGAGGCGAGCTTTTCCTGGAGTGGAAGGAAACTCTCATTCCTGCCCGACCCACAGTCGGAAGAGGAAATACTCGTGATGGAACATGTCACCAGTAGAATTTCCAGGCTGGTAGGGTATAATTTTAGATAGAGGAGTCTTTTTCAAGTTACGTGGTTAAGCTAAGCAATATGGCCTATGGTTAGTGTATTAGTAAAAACAGCATTTTGGAATGACCTAGCTTTATTCCAGAACCCTTCTTGTTCCATCTATTTTAAGTGGTTCTTTGTGTGTAGGGACTCAGTTGACTAAATGAAAAATACAAAATTATTTCAAAGCTCACACTTGGGAATATTTCCCTTTAAAATGATACAAGTAACAAGTGCATTAAGCAAATTCAAATAGTAGAGAAGAATATAAAATGAAAGTGAAAGCTTCCCTCCCTGACCCCCTATCTTTTAATCCCCAGGCTTTCAGAGTTTAACTGTTTAATGGTTTCCTGGGTATGCTTCCAGACAATTTTCATTCACATGAAAGGGTGCCCTTTTTTTGTTTGTTACATTTATTCAACCTATTCTTCCTACTCACTCTGTTTCCCCCCCCCCTCAAGTATTTTAAAGCAAATCATAGACATCATATCCATTTGCCTATAAATATTTCCAACAGATAAGGACTTCAAAAAATGGACATAGTGACTATCAACAATTGCTACATGATATTATGGGACACCCAGGCTATAATCAGTATTTCCCCAATTTATCTCAAAAGAGTTATTTTATCCTTCTATAGCCAGGATCCAAATAAGCTGTACACCTTACATTTTTTGGTAAGTGTCTCAGGTGTCTTTTCATCCGTAACCCCTGCTCTTTGAAAATGTCATTTCCTTGTTGAAGAGACTGTGTCATTTGTCCTGAGGACTTTCCCACACTGCGAGTTTGGCTTACTCCGTCCCCTTTGTGTGTTTAACATATGGCTGTTTTAATCACCTGTATTTCCAGAGAACTGCTAGTGAGATAGAGGCCTGATTACATTTTTGTAAGAATATTTCATAGATGGCTTATTGGAAGGCGCACAATGTCTGTTTCCTTTTTGGTGATAAGATTAATCAGTGGTTGTATGTGTTGTCAGCTTGATCCATCCTCTGTAAAGTTCCCTGTCAACCTTTCACCTCATGATTTAAACAGCAGTTGATTCCCATTTTCTAGAAAACAAAAATATCAACACCCTAGACATAGTTTTATGTCTTGTTTTATTCACTAATATCTTGGGCATGTTTCTATATTAGCTGCTATAGACATACCTCATTTTTAAAATATAGCTTTAATATAATATAATAGAATCAGAGGAATGGAAGGGGAGTGGACTGACGATTCTTGGGGAAAAGGGGGGGGGGGTGCGGGAAGAGAATGAACATAAACTGTGCACCCATGGATGAGGACAATGGGAGGTGGGGAAAGGGCAGAGGGTGGGAACCTGGTGAAGGGGAGCAATGGAGGGGGAAAAAATGAGGAACATTTGTAATAATATGTACAATAAAGATTTATTTAAAAAAATAAAAAAATAAAATATAGCTTTATAGATCTTATTTTATGAACGTATTACAATTTATGTAACCTTTTGCAAATATTTTTGATCCTTCATGATTAAGAAAGGAAAGTTTGAGGCCTGAACTCTACCTGTTTTGATGGTTTATATTTCCCAAATGTCAAGGCTGGTGTGGCTCTGACCAATATCAATTGATGGACTAGACAGGTAGCAACTCAGTGTCCCAGCAGAGCCCTTCCCTGTGGAGGTGCTGGAGGAGAGAGTGAGCTTAGCTTTCCTTGGAGGAACCAGTTTGTTGGTTTGCTTTTCTAAAAAATTGAAGCAGGTGTGACTGCCTGGTCGGTAGATTTTCCCAAAGTGGGCAGCGGGGCCCCTATGGCAGGGCAGAGGAAGGCAGTGCATGTTGATAGTGGTAGCCAGAGGAACAGAAATAAGAGGGTAAACCCCGACCTTAAGACCCCCCGATGGCTAAATTGGCAGCAGCAGATGCTCAGGCTATAACTAAATGAGTCAGCAGTAGGGATCCTAACATCTTTCTCCACGGAGTCGGTGTGTGAGGTTGATGGTGGCCATTAGGGCATTCTTCTCTGTCCCATTTGATTTGTCTTTATTTCTTGCCATTTTCCAAGTTCAGGGATCCATAGATGGACTTGGGTCTGACAGCTTCCTTCAGGAAACAAAGTCCCTGAATTGAGGCTACTCTGGTTTGAGCAAGGACAGGCCTAGTGATGTCCCTTTGCAGATGTCTTCCTAAGTGCGGGATGGCCTTCAGAAGTTACACATTCACAAGGCAGGGCGACCAGATTTTGAAAAATGGAACCCAGATAAAAGTGATGAGATGAATGTGGGCTTGTACCTGAAGAAAAGCAGCAAAAAAACCTTTTGGATAGAGTCTTGGGATTGCCAGGGGTGGGGGTGGGGGGGGAAATCAAGTCATTTTTAGTGTTCTTTATATAGCAATGCATGTGAATGAGTGCTGGATGTAGTGTGCCTTTTCATTTTCCTTAATTTTCCTCTCTTTCTCTTTCTTCCAAGCCTCAGAAGAGGAAAGCGGAAAGCCTTTCCAGTGTCCAATATGTGGTTTGGTTATAAAAAGGAAGAGCTACTGGAAGCGGCACATGGTGATTCACACAGGTTTAAAAAGTCATCAGTGCCCGCTCTGCCCATTCCGGTGTGCTCGCAAGGACAATCTCAAATCCCACATGAAGGTAAGCCAGCCGCAGACATCCCTTCCGAGGAGGCAGGTACCTCCAAGATGAGAGGGGCTTTTGGTGGATGACAGTGCTCAAGGATACGAGGTAGAACGCAATGGAAATGAAGCACCTTGCAAAGAGTCCTCTTGTGAAGGACTCTTCCAATTTACAACCAGGAACAGAGAGAAGCTTCAAAATCTAAATAACATATGTGGTGGAGATCCACCCCTCTTTGGGGAAGCAGCTTAAGCTGGCCTTGCATGGTGATGCATTTCCAGGGTGCTTGGAGGGGCAGAAAGAGTACAGGAAGGGCTACTGGACCTGTGCCCAAAGAGAGGGTGCTTGGACCAGCTCCCCTTTTTTGGCGAGACTGCCCTCTCCTGCTTACAAACCCAGAGGAACACCCAGAAACATCTTATAGGAGGTGGGAAAACACTAAAGACACCTGGGCTTCAACCCTAGCCCTGTGGAGGGCTCAGGGTTATTCCTGACAAGATTGAGTCCTCCCCAAGGCTGTCAGGGTTTAAGCTGTCCTAATTCCCAAGAACACACTTACCCAACATGCAAGGATTTTGTTTTCAATGTCCTAGTGAAAACAGGTTGGCTTGCACCTGTAATAGACGTTAAATAGAGTCTATGTGTTACTCAGGTGAGATGGGGGAAAACTTAGTGGTCTAAAACTTAGCAAACTCCATTAATACTAAGGGTTTTGTCTGAAATTCAAGGAAGAAACCCATGGGATCAAAAGAGCATGTGCTTTTGAATTTGATAGACCCATTTTTAAATCTCATTGTGCAATTATCTAGCTAAGTGGCCTTGAGCAAATGAGCCCTTAGACTTAATTTTCTCATCTGTTAAATGGGAACAATAATGTTGAGAAGAACTGTTATTAGTATTTAAGGAGATAATATTAGTAAAGTATCTGACACAGAAATGTTCTTTAATAGTTGTGTAATTTCAACAACTATCATCTAACACCTTAATAATAGCAAGTCATTTTATTGATATTTTCAATATGGTTTGACTGTTGACATTGTTTATAAAGTTCTTACTTTCCTGCCATAAGAAGTATAGTGTGTGTACATAATTAAGAATTTACTTTATTTTAAATCTTGTCAGTAATCACTGTTAAAAATTGTAGCTCTGGAAAAGTATGATCAGACGGAACCTCTATTGACTTTAGGCAAAAGCTCAAAGATTTAAAAAATTAAATCCATGGTGTAATTTGTCTTCTACCATTTGCCTTTTTTTTTCTCCTGGGAGTAGCATGCCCTTCATCTTCAGAATCCATTTAACCAGGCGTTCTGGTTGGTTGAATTTTAGTGGGCCTGCTTAGTTTTTACTTTAACCCTCCTCCTTCTCCATCACCTCTTCCCAAAGCAAAATTTCATGTTTTACAACTGCAAAGTGGATTTCGATAGCGGGATGAGACTTCAAAAGAAACGTCTTTAAAACTAGAATTTGTTTTCGTGACTGTGCCCTGCGCTGCATTCAGAAGTCAGGTCTGGCAAATTTAAAGCTTCAGTGAGCAGAAAACTTGCATCTTGCCTGACACCTTGTAAGCTTGGTTTCAGCTCAGGGTCACTTAAAACAACCTATTTATAAACCCGTGGAAAAAAAGCTGGGTTTTCAAGAGCAGGAACTACTGACCCTGAAACTACAGAGAGATGAGTAGGGTGCCTTGATGATACAGACAGTCGGCCATGACAGTGTTACTGATGAGAGTGGTGAGGGCTCTGTGGGTCATGGGGTCTTAGAAGGCTTTCAGAACAAATCAATAACCGGTACAATAAAGCTGTGTGCGAAATTACTCCTTTATTCACACTCATTGTGTCCTAACCTGTTGAGCTCCAACTGAGCTTTTGATAAGGGAAGTGTGAGAAGGGCTCATACAAGTTTAATTTTATCAAACGGTGTACTGTTTCTTTTCTCTGCTCTACACCTGACTCATAAGCCTCTCTCCCTCTCTCTCTCTTTTTTTTTTTTTTTTTTTTTTAATTCTTCAATCAACTCATGGTTTTATTTTCATTGGATGTACTTGAATTTGGCTACATTTTGAAAATAGACTCCACAGGGAAACACAACGGCTTTGGTTTTAGGAGGAGAGAGCCAGAGATTACAAAGATAGAAAGATTTTTCTAAAACAATTTCTGCCGAAGAAGTGGGGGACAGCATAGCCTATAGGTTAAGATCTCATGTGGTCATAAGAACCTTAGTAGCTGTGCGACCCTGAGCAAATCATGTAACCTCTCAAGCTTCCTTTTCTGATCATGGAGATACTCATCAGGCGGTCTGTCTCATGGAGCTGTTATAATAGTTAAATGAGATAACGGACATGAGCCACTTAACACAGACCCTGGGATGGAGAAACACTAGGTAAATGTAGCTAATATAGTAATTATTGCCCGAAAGCCATCAGAATATATATTAACATTTACATTTAGAAATAAATTAGCAACATGGACTAAAACATTTCTCTAAAATGAATTTCATTGCTTTTCTCTTTTTACGATATATCTTTAGTGTTCAGAATTTAGAAAAACCAATAAATGAAAAGCATATAATAATTGACCCATAATCTCATCACACGTAGAATTAACCCTTAGTGTCATTCTAATGCATCTCTATCTATATTCATTATGTGGATTTATTTAAGGAAAAAAAAAAACTGGTTTCCACTTTGTTTGTTCAACACATATTGTTAGCATGTTCTGGGTGCTGGGCACTGTGTGTTTTTCCAAGCCTGCCTTTCCTCCTCAGTATACCATGCAAGTGTTTTTATGAGCGGCAGCGGAAGGAGATGTAAATGTCTCCAGCTTCCTCGGGGTTATCTTAGATTTCCAGTAAGTCTTTTATAACTTTCCTGGATGAGTGAGCATTCAGGGATTAAATAGGACATTCATAAGCTGAAATTGGACAGAAAAAGGTGAAGAGGATTGCTAAGGTAAAGAACATGGGTGGCCGAAGCCGGTTTGGCTCAGCAGTAGAGCGTCTGTCTGCGGACTGAAAGGTCCCAGGTTCGATTCCGGTCAAGGGCATGTACCTTGGTTGCGGGCACATCCCCAGTAGAGGGTGTGCAGGAGGCAGCTGGTCGATGTTTCTCTCTCATCGATGTTTCTAGCTCTATCTCTCTCCCTTTCTCTCTGTTAAAAATCAATAAAATATATTTTTTTAAAAAAGAAAAAGAAAAAAAGAACATTGGTGAAGGAGTGGCAAGAGAGTGGACAAGAGTCAGGGCACCTAGCTCTGCTGGTCCCGGGCCTGTCTTGTTAGGAGCTGGGCTGGCCATGTCCCCCAAGGGCGGTGGAGTAGATGTTTCCCAAAGTTTCCTCCTATTCATCTGACTGAGGAGATGGACCAAATGATATAACAGCCCCTTCACGTGCTACCCCTTAGGGCGGGGATGTGCTTTTCATGCAAAATGGCCAGTCAGTGAGGACACCACCATGTGGCCTGGAAAGAATGACATGCCTTAGACAAGTGTGTGTTGAAGTCCGTGTTAAGCTAAAGAGAACAAAGATGGTAACAGAAAGCGCTTTTTGGTCTGGAGAAGTTGGAGCTAAAACCTCTCCAAGGTCAAATAAGGGCCCCTAACCCCTTTGGGAAGGTGTCGCTCAAATAGAATGGAAAGTCAAGTTCACATCCACTGCTTTTCCTTGAAACAGTCACTAAAATTTCCCCACAACTAAATGCAGCGAGGCCAGGACCAGGTAGAACACTTGCATGTAGACTCTTTTCCAGCCCGGCTCCCCTTTGGCTCCAGAGTCTGTGCTCACTCCCGGTGCTTTTCCTTCTTCCAGAAGCTGCTTCGGGTGCTTCTGTTCTCGGATTTGCTCCTGTTCTCTCCCGAGTCAGTAGAAGCAAGGACACTTCGGAAATGAAATTCTCCCTTGTGATCTTTACCACCTTTCTGCCTTGTGACCTTCCCCCCCTGGCTGCAGGGCAGACGGTGGGCAGCCCCTGCCAGGGTCACTCGGGCGCAGTGACCTGACCTGCGTGAAATGAGTGGCGAGGTGGCGGGGAAATCATACGATTCAGTGAGAAGACAAATGAGCCCATCAGCTCCAGAGTGAAGTCCCTTTGTTGAAAAGGAGCAGAGAGGGGTGATGGTGTTCACCGCCAGTGGTGGTGTGACAGCGTTGACAGGGTGGCATCCCAATCCCCCGCCCCCACCCCCAGACCTGGTAGGGAAAGACTTTCATGAGCAAGGCTTTGCTGCCACTGAATTTAGGTTAATATGGTGATTTCTGTTGAGAAAGTCATGCTTTGGGGGACCCAGAATCTTTTCTGTTGTTTTTTTCAAAAAGCCACAGTGGGGTGCTGTGGCGACAGGATCTCACCATTAATGTTTAATTTCTTTGCTTTTGTTGGTCACTTAACATTATTTAAAAGTATGTTTTGGCTGGTGAATAATACTTTTGGATTGCATTCAGAATGCATAAACAGCTGTAGTAAAACTCGCTTTCTTGGAAAGGCAGCCTCCGCCGAGGGGCCAGGTGGTGCGGTGGATTAACAAACTGGCTTTTAACCTTTGGGAGACCTGGGTTCAAATCCCACTCAGGTCATCCCTGACAGATGGGGTGTTAGTTGGTTTTGGTTTTGGTTTTGAATTCCAACCCCTGACTTGTTTGTCCGGGGCATACAACTCCCCGAATCATTTGGCCCAAATCTACACAATTGGCAGTTTTGACGCAGGGAGGGCCAGTCCTGAAATAGCAGGGTGCAGCAGGTCAGCGCTGAGGCATTGGCAGGGATGAAAGGGGGAGTTAACAAGCTTGTGAGCACCCGCCAGCTCGGACGGAGCCTGGCGCGGGCCCATGCAATGATTTCCTTGCTTTTTCAAGCTCTAAATTTGGGAGTGATGGGAAGGGAAAAAAGCTCCTCTCAGTTTTTACAGGTGTATACGTGCAAGCAAGATGGACTGGATTTCAAACTGCATTCTTTTTCTTTTTTAAAATATATATTTACTATAGGCCCTGTGCACGAGATTCATGACCTGGAGGGGGTCCCTCAGCCCAGCCAGTGCCCTCTCACAGTCCAGGACCCCTTGCTCCTTACTGCCCGATGCGCTTGCCAGTCGTGAACCCAGCTTCTGGCTTTCTGGCTGAGTGGCCCTCCCCGGGTGGGAGCTCACTGACCACTAGGAGGCAGCTCCTGAGTTTGGCGTCTGCCCCCCCCTGGTTGTCAGTGGCATCATAGCAACTGGTCATTCCACCAGTCAGTGGATTTGCATATTAGAGTTTTATTATATAGGCTAGGATTGATTTCAGAGAAGAAGGAAGAGGGAGAAAGAGAGAGAGAGAGAGAGAGAGAGAGAGACATCAATGATGAGAAAGAATCGTTGATTAGCTGCCTCCTGCACACCCCCTACTGGGGATCAAGCCCACAATCTGGACATGTGCCCTGACCAGAAATTGAACCATGACCTCCTGGTTCATAGGTCTACGCTCAACTACTGAGCCATGCCGGCCGGGCACCCTTTTACTGTAAACCTCAGGATCTGAGCACAAGGTCACCACGGTGGGGAACACTTGCTTGTCTCGCTGAGAATCCTTGGGGGGGACCAGACCCTGGTTCTCCCCACACCCCACTCGACTTTCTTCACTTGTCATTTCATTCAAGCCACTCAATCCCAGGTCTCAATTTCACTGTCTACCAAATGGGAATACCCTGGAGCCATTATTCTCCACATTCTTAATTACCTAAAAAAAAAAAAAAAAGCATTTTGAAAAAAAAATGAAATTATTTTTGAAAAACATCACTAATCTCTGGGCGACAGTCCTTGGGAACACACAAAGCGTTACCATTAAGAGAGGAATTATATAACAGGTGATCTCTTTTGACCGCCCCCCTCCCCCCCGCAACTAGTCATTAGGTAAGTGTGCATTCTGCTGGTTTATAATATTTTCTCTGAAGACATTAAGTGAGATTGGATGCCTAGACCCTTCAGAGGATTCTACCCTGAACGGCCTCCATGGGCGACAGCACCTCCATCGTGAGCCTGGCTCTATTAGCGGGCTCTTCCGGGACATGGACCCACTTTATTTTTCGGGGTGACCTCATCACTCGGAGCTCCGTCGTGAGATGCTCTCCTCTGGTTATTTATCCCCGGGGCCAGCCCTCTGTCCCCCGTGTGGAGACTAGTTGATGATGAGTGTGCACCCGCAGCCAGGGTTTCCCATAAGCACGCGGTGGACGGCTCACTGTTCTTGCTTCTCCGCCAGGTTCATCAGCACCAGGACCGGGGAGAGACCTTTCAGTGCCAGCTGTGCCCTTTCACGTCCTCGCGCCACTTCAGCCTGAAGCTCCACATGCGCTGCCACCAGCACTTCCTGAGGACAGAAGCCAAGGTGAAGGAGGAGATCCCAGACCCAGATGTCAAGGGATCGCCCCACCTCAGTGACAGTGCCTGCCTGGGGCAGCACAGGGAAGCAGGAGGGACAGAGCTAGTGGGGACCATGATGCCGGCCAGCACTCCAGAAAGGACTAGCCAGGGTGGGGCTGGCGTCTCGCCTTTGCTGGTGAAGGAGGAGCCCAAGGAAGATAACGGCCTGCCAGCCTCCTTTCCCCTGAATGCTGCCGACAGGCCGGCCAACCACACAAAGCTGAAAGACCCCTCCGAGTATGTGGCCAACAGTGCGTCAGCATTGTTCAGCCAGGACATCTCTGTTAAGATGGCGTCTGATTTTCTCATGAAGCTGTCAGGTACTTGAATAGGGTTGTATTCATTCTCTCTCTCTCTCTCTTTCTCTCTCTCTCTCCCTCTTTCTCTCTCCTTCTCTACCAGTGCTCTCCTCTGTAAAATCAATTGGTAGGACTAAGTGATGTTGAGGTCCCTTTAAATTCTAATGGTCAGCACCTTCATACATGTTCTTGACTCCCCCCCCCCCACCCCACCCCCCCAGTCCTCTGGGTATAGGCATTGCTGTGGTTTGGGGTCTAGAGGCAGCAGCAATTGCCAATGTCCTTCTGGTTTTTCTCCTTTATGGGCTCTCGTTGTGGGGGAAGGGTCCATGGTGAGCCAGGTTGGTGGCAGTTCTTTGTGTGACCTTGGCCTCTATGTAACCTGTCTCTGCAATGGGCTCTTTACTGTGCTTGTGTGGTACGTCTCATTTTGCATTATTCAAGGTTTTTGTTTGTTTTTTAATTTTAACCATTTTTAAGGACATATGTATGTACAGAGACTATTAGGAAGTAGAGACTTTGAAAATTTGATCAAAGGATACGGATTTTCTTAAAATGTTTTTCCAGCGGATTTTCCAGTTGTTTTTCCAGTTGTGGGCTTGATCCCCAGTAGGGGGTGTGCAGGAGGCAGCTAATCACATTGTTGTATAACCATCATCACCATCCATCTCCGGAACACTTTCATCTTCCCATTACACAGTAACTCCCCATTCCTCCCGAACCCCAGCTCCTGGTGACCACGCTTCCACTTTCTGTCTCTGTCAATTTCACTAGTCTAGGTACCTCAAATAAAGTGGAATTCGAATTTTCTAAAAATTATTTTCCAACTGCCCAATGCCATTTGAAAAGAATATGGAGTAGAAGTTGAAAAAAATTATCCTTATCGATTAATACTACTCTGACCATCAAATTACATACGATTTTTTTCCCCTGTTGTTTATGTTTTCAATTTCTTTAAGTTGTGTGGTAGAACGGGGTGCAATGTTGAGGAAGGCTATTTTTCCTGACTCCCTTTTGGAATGAGAAAGCGTGTCCTGGGATTGCACTGCTTCTCATTCCATTTTTTTAAAGTATGATTTTAAATTTTAAAGGCAATGTGGAGGGTGGGGAAAGGTCAGCTGAGCATTGGTTCTGTCTTGCAGTCCCCAGGATGATTTCCAAATGCCATTTCAGCTCTTTGGAGATTGACAATAGCCTTTTAAATGGAGAATAATTGGTCACCGTCTTCCTTTAAATGGACTGTGAGTCGCGTTTCACTAAATGTCATTGCCAGGTGCATTAGAGGTTCAGCGTCACTCTGAAGACCCCGTGCTCGGGGACACCGCAGTCAGGTCTTTCGGATTGTCCCCGTCACCCCAGATCTCTGCCCCTCAGGAGCGCAGCACTAGTTGGAAGAAATGAGTAAAGGTAGGGGATGGAATTGAGGCGTCACAGAAATGAGCTGCGGAGGAAAAGAGAGCAGAGAGTGTTCCCTGAAGCACCCAGACCTGCCGTGCGGGCGAGGGGAGGGAGGCAGTCCGATGCTGGGCACAATCCAGTCCCAGGGGATTACGGTGCCTCTGACTGTGGCACAGATAGACAGGGGCTGCTCTCTACTCCCCCTTCTCTTCCAGCTCATCTAGGGAAACTGAGCTTTTAGGGACTTTGGGTTTTATATTGAAACCTTTTTTGAAACGGGGTGGGGGGGAGCGGGCGGAGGGGAGTGCAGCTTCCTTGGTCCTTTCTTGGTGGTCTCTCCCGCTGACAGTACAGCACAAGGACTCCTTTTCTGGGTTCTTCTAATGCAAATGGCATCTTCACTTAGCCTAGCTTACATAGGGAGGGGGGCATCTCCTTACCAATGAGAAAACTAAGTGGGGTAAGTAACTCTTAGAAGGGGTTACTCCCTTTACCACCCCGGGACGTTTTCAGAGCTGCAGGAAGGGATGGAGGGAGGATTGGGTAAAATCCTTGGGGGACGTTATACCGCTCCTTCTCAGCTCAGCCCCGGGTGCCCCACATCCATCCAGCTGTAACGAGCTCCAGCCCAGTCTCAGGGAGCGGAACAGAAGGCCCGGGGCTGCTGGGAACCAGAATTGCAGACAGGAGCTTCCCCAGCGCAGAAGCCAGTCGGTAGGCTGGGGTGAAAATGTGCACCGAAGCCTCACACTGTGATCTGTTTTCTCAGCCAGCTATTGATGGGGACTTGTTTACGGTTTGGCAGCCGAAGTATTTGCCGACCGATCAATCGGCAGGAGAAAACAGATAACAAATGCACACTGCTTATGCAAAAGGCCCATGCAGCGATTTCATGGTGGCTTACTAAAGGTCCTGAAACCTGACTTGTGTGCACTGTTACCTAGCAACCTGTTACAAAGTCACCGGGGAGAGATGCATTGGTAATTTTTTGTGTGTGTGCATATTTGGATGTGAATGTAAACTTGGTGACTGTGGCAATGCGGCCCCCGGGAAGAGGAGATGTGTTAAAAAGGAGGAGGATACATTTTCTGGAGGGATTTTGTGTGCTGTTGTTGTTTTCTAATACCGCTTACTCTTCGTTGGATCGAGTCCTATCATGGATAGCTGCTGGGCCTGGCTGTGTCTGAGGCTCTGATCCTGGGACCCAAAGGCCCAACCCCAGAGAACCGAGGCTGAGTTTCTAGCTCTTTCCCTCGTCTAATGCAGTGCAGCCGTGGTGAACATCGGGCCTTGTCCCTCGGCGTCATAAGGGCTCCATTGTTCTTGGGATGAGTTTTAGCTGGGCTCTGCGCGCGCACCTGCTGGGAGCGGAGGGTGCAGCTGTTTGTGGGCACGGAGATTGCCGAGTCCCGGTGCCAGCCACATCACTGTCTGCAGAAACGGAGCACAGTGACAGATTCAAGCGTGGACACACCTACTTGTTTCCAAAAGAGAGAGGGGAAACACTTGTTTCTTTCTTGCTTGGCTATTAAGGGGAGTCTTTCTTGCCCCTTCCACTAAAACTGAGCATAAAGATGACTTCAGGGAACCCGGTGGGATTAAAGAACAAGGGTGGAATGCTCTTTGAAATGGACTCTAAATCCTCCTCCTACCCCCTCCCTGATTTTGACGTTTCCCAGCGTATGTGATTGTGAAATCAAATCCCTTCTCCTCCAGATCGTCAACTAACTCTTCTTCTGCCCCAGCCCACACTTAACATTCCTCGGTCTGCAAGATTAATGCTGCTCCCTGGGACCGAGGCTGTCCAGGCTCAGCGCCATAATTGATTCAGGGAAGAGAACGGGGCAGCCCCTGCCCCCGGCTTTCCGGGCCAAGAGAAAAAAATAATTTTGTCAGCTTTGTGCAGGGTTTCGGCCTGGAAGGCAGGTCTCAGAGGCTGCAGCCCTGGGTGTTTGCATAGATCTTTCTTGGGAGCCAGAAGGCCCATGCAGGCCCCTGCATGTCAGGGCGGGGATCCAGGGCTCGCATGACCCGGGGTGCACAGGGGAGAGGCGCTCACCTGATCTCAGAGCAGGCTCCTGCTCTAATGGGCCTTCTCCCCATGATCCAGCAGCCAGCAGCAGTTCTAAATGCTAGAGTATGTTGTTGTTGTTGTTGTTTGTTTGTTTTAATATATTTTGATTGATTTCAGAGAGGAAGGGATGGGGAGAGAGAGAGAGATAGAAACATCAATGATGAGAGAGAATCATTGATAGGCTGCCTCCTGCATGCCCCCTACTGGGGATGGAGCCTGCAACCCGGGCATGTGCCCTTGGCCAGAATTGAACCTGGGACCCTGCAGTCCACAGGCTGATGCTCTATCTACTGAGCCAAAGCAGCTAGGGCAATGTTGTTGTTTTTTAATGCCAGGGCCTAAACCCACTCTCAGAAATTATGATTTCATTGGTCTAGAATAGGGGCTAATCATTGGTATTCTCTTTAAAAATCTCAAATGACTCTCACATGTGACCAAGACTGAGGACCGCTGATGTGGAATAGGAACCTGAATCCTGGTGCCGCTCTCTCCCCTCCTCTGTGTCCCGGACCCTGGAAGGGGCATGGTGTGCGCTGGGCCTGAGGCATTCTCCGTAGGTCAAGGTTGACGGGCAGGAGAGGCCTGGGTGAGTCATGGTCATGAAACCCCGTGTTCCTCCTCGCAGGGCCCCATGCCAGAATTAGAAGAAGCATCTCAATGTTCTCTAGTGAGAACTAGAAAGTCTCAAGACTCCTGGAACATCGAGGGGCTGGGAGTGTCGTTACTTGAAGCCTGAATAACAGTTGCCTGCTCTGGCCTTACATCATGTCTCTCTCTGAAAACTACACTCTTCAAGAGACATAATTGAATCCTAGCTCTCCAAATTAGAACCGAGGAGCTGACAGAATCTTGGCACCTCCATTGCTGGCTGGGAATAGCTTTTTGTCTCTGGCTTTTGAAAATAAAAGATACAAGTCATTTCAACTATTTTTAATTTGGAAGGGGCAAAAATATTTTTTTAATACAACCTCCCACATTCTATTAATTTCATAAAATTAAGGCTGACGTCATTTTAACCAGGACGTACATATAGGCACAGGCCGAATTTTTAATGTCTTAGAAGGGCAGCCATAAACAGTAAAGGTTTTCTTGTATAAGCGAGCGGAAACTGGTGAATGTATTTGCGACCCATAGGCCTGTGTTCTGCCGCTTCTACCTATTTTGTACAGTTTTATGCACCTGTAGGTACAACATGGTTAAGCTATGACTGGCTGCTCCCCTGTGCTGTCTTACACTGGTGTGCACTGCTGGAGGAGGAACAGGAGATGCCCAGTAAGCCAGGCCACCCTTACTGCATGGGGGCTCCTACTGGCTTTCGTGAAACATCTGAACAAAGGAGCCTTCTTTCAACTACATGCCATCCGTGGGCCATTCGCGCCCTCGGACTTCGGTGCTGGTGGCTCTCCCAAGCCCACGCCTAGGTCTCTTCCCCAGTGGGTTTATCTTGAACAACCTTCCTTTGCGTCTTCAGTTTGGCCCTTCTTTTTAACCCACCTCGCTGTTTTCATGCTGGGCGTTCACTGAGCATGTGCCTAAAACTCCCGGTGTC